GAAGTAAGAAGTCTAACGCTCTCGTTTTACCCTTATCCTTTCTTTTTTTTTTTTATTTGTTTCCTTTTTTTCTATCTCTATTTCTCTTTCTCTCTCTATAAATATATATATATATATATATATATATATATACATATATATATCTTTCTCTGTTTCTCTAACTGATTACCGGCTTTATAGGTTTATTCTATTATAAACATTTATCTTATTAACGCAACATCGAATTGTTTTCATTGATCTGATCATTGATCTGTCGTTGAACTTATAGATCGTTGCTATCAAACAACCTACGTTGTATCATCAAAAAGTGCTACGAAGTTCATTTACATTGTTTTCTGTTACTTAAAAAAAAAAAAAAAATCTCTCTCACTCGTACGATCGATCTCGTTAAATAAATAAAAAAAGATGTGGAAAATGTATAAGAAGATTAAATATTAATCGGTGACAATAAATAGTGTGATAGGAGGAACTCTATTCGAGTGATTCTCGATATTATTATTATTATTATTATTATTAACGAACAATCGCGTATTATTTTTTGGTGCAGTGAAAAATTATCGATTATCTTCGTGACAATTCAACCGAGCCTTCGATATCGTGGTAAGTTTGACGAAAAAAAAACGAAAAAAATATCTCCTCATCTCCTTTAGACGAACGTTTGAACCATATTATGCAATAGAATCTCTGTAGATACAAAAAAAAAACGAATTGTTTGTTGCTAATGATTAATCGTTATTTCGAAATCTATGCATTTATATTCGATCATATAAAAATATTCGATTAATTTAAAAAATGACTTTTACGATTACTTGAAAATATTCGATCACTGTCATCCCTAATTATGCATATATTCGAAATAATGATTTGAATATAATAGATAATAGATAATCGATTTTTCTATGTTTTTTTTTTTACCCCATTCTTTCTCACCTTTCATCTTATAGGAATATAATGACAATCGTAGAACACGAGTGGCCCTAATTTTAGCCACTTCCCATGAATCCTTCTATTTTAAGTGATGCGCTATTTAAACGCGAAAGATATACCAACTTACCAATAATAGAATCATCCCCAACGAGATATAATAAATGAAAATTTAATAATTTATATTTATATCAGAAAAAAATATTTCTAATACGCATGAATCTGACATTTAATTATCGATAATTGATATATATATATATATATATATCTCATTTCCGAATAATTAAAATAAATTTATGGCAACGATACATGAATGGTTAATATTTTAAGATATCGATCTGGGAAAGAAGACTATACACGAGATACTTAAGATAATTCTTGAAAGAACGCGGAAAGGATACTAATTGGTTTACATTCTCTCTCTCTCTCTCTCTCTTTCTCTCTTTCCC